GAAGCGCCGCTGGAAGCAGAAGCACACTCTGTAGGTCTGCTTCGACATGGAGAATCGCCTTGTTCGGATCGGAATTCGGAGCCGGAGGATTTGGAGGAGATTCGCCCGCGTCGGTGTCCGGTTGCTTGGGGAATTTGAGAGATGGGTGGGAGAGTGAAGTAACTCCAGAAGGAAAGGAACGGAATATGATGGGGTGGTGGGGTGGGACCCACCACACCAATACTATTTACTTTTTACGTTACACGTGGCTTATTGGTGGGTAATTTAATAAGGTGGCGCACTGTGCTGTACAATCTGACATTTTATCGTCATTCGTTATGTATTGTGGTGACGATAATTGTCTACTTTCTAATTTATTTTTAAATATGAACTTAAAATCGTTTAACTGCTGAATATATGAGGTCAGAATTTGGACAAGGATCATCTCTAGTGAGGATTCAGAGATTAATCAATCTTATCCGTTTATCGTATATCGTAAGATAATTTTCGTTAGGTACTATTTATATTCAATTTTAAATTAAAAAATTTAAATGATTTATAACTGCACAATATACGATGAACGAACACGAGTGATTAATCCTTCGGATCTTCACAAAGAAGGTCCAGAGATGATCCTATCTTCAGAGTAAAAGTCAAAACTCCTGTATCAACAATTATAGTAAGAAAGGTCGTTTTAGTACTCTTGAACCGAAATGTTAATTTTTATGTGACATGAAACTAAATGGCAGAAGGCTAATTACGGTTAAATTTGATAACAGCTTCAAATAATATATATATATATAATAGAAAAAAAAAATAATGTAATAAAATAAAATAATACTTTAATTTTATATATAGCATGAAGATTGAAACTTTAAAAGATGTTAAAATGTCATGTCGAGTGTCAAATTTCCTTTGAAGATGATCTGACTTTTTACAAACGATATGACAATATATTTTAAAGATTATATTAAAGAATACAATATTTACTGTGTATTTACAAACACAGTAGTTTAATCAACTTGACAAAATTTGCTCCAGATCTCTTTCATCAAATCATCTCCATCAAACAATATGGGCTTTTTAAAATTTGATCTAACGATCAAAATTATTATAATTTTAAAGCGAACTCTTATTTGTAATCGTTTGATCAAATTTTAATAGTCCAGATTAGTTGATAGGAAGAATTTGATGAAAATGATCCGAAGAGGATCCCCTTCCCATTATGTGGATGACTAACACTGTTGATGTGTATTAATCATAGGTGAGACACGGTGGCTTTGGGGACCAAAAATAATAAGTGGATAAACATTGTGTGTTATTTTACTGGGATGTATTTGTCTTTCCCTATTTTGTCTTTACGGTTGAAAGAATAATATCCGAAAGATCCAACATTATCCTTCCCTTAATTAGAAATGTTTTTTTTTATCAGTTTCTTGTCTTCATATTTCATGTGGATTTTATACTTGAAAAGTGTAATTTGCACTTTGAAAATAGAGAAAAATAATCTTATTGTCTTACTTGCAAGTTAAAAATAGTACAGAGATCGGGCATCCAATCTTATGGTCTTACTTGCAAGTTATAAATAGTACATAAATTAATATAAGATGTTAGCATGACTTAACCGTGACCGTTCAAATAGAAGAAAAAGAAAATGGAGGGAAACAAAGAGAGGAGATAATCATTCTCCCGTGTTTTAGACTGCTTTTAAAATGACTAGTATTCTTATTACAAAAATATTTAACCTTAATCTTAAATTTCAAAAGCCAAAAGCACGTAGGCGCTTTATGTTTATGTTCGGTGTTTCTTCAGCTAGCACTAACAAGTGTTAGTCGTAAGGTAGTGATATCCACATCTATTTTTTTCCCTCATACAGACTTCTCAACTTTTTACCATTAAATCAAATAAATTGAAAAAAATTAATAAAAATAACTAATAAAAGCATGTAAAAAATAAAAAACTAGTGTACTTCTTTGTAAAGCATTTTGTTGTGCTCGCAATCCCAAATGTGGTTAAAATTATCCATTCCTTGCACTCGAGGTCTTGTCTACTATTCTCTCCAATGGGAACATTATAGCTGGATTAGGATAATAACAAATCATTACCGTAATCTCATGAGTAATATTTGGAGCTGTTAATACATGATTAAATAGTAATAATTCCGTTTTAATGAAAAACAATCTGGATTCTTTTTAAAAAAAAAAAAAAAAAAAAAGGGTCTGGGTCATGCTAATTACTGCCATTTTACATGATGGGAGGGGAGCAGTAGTGGATTCGTGATGCCATAAAAATAATTAAATGAGACAGAAAAATGTGCATCGGTCCCATGTCCCGCGGACCGTGCAGAAAGAAACGGAGGCAAATTGTCTGGTCTTTAGATGCTTTTTCTATCATTTTTTTTATTTATGCGATCACGGTTAAACAACGTTAATATTTTATATTTTTATTATTTTTTATCTTATCATTTTTATAAAAAATTAATATAAAATATTAATGTAATTTAATATAGTATAAAATAAGAGAAAATAAAAAAAACATCCGAACGAGAAGGCAGACGATCTGCCTCCGAAAGAAACGACATCACCATCAATGTCGACGTGGATGGATCCAACCAAGTCATCAACTTTTGAAATATTGTGGAGTAATCCACAAACTTCCATGGCCCTCCAATTATAATTACTGTTTACCGTCTTTTTTTGTCGGCGCTTTTTTTTTTTTTTTTTTGGGTCAGCCATCTCTAAATCAAAACCTAAGTGAAATGTCATGTAATTAAATTTAAAATTAAGAGCAAGCTCTAACCGGTATATCAATCTTATGTGAATTAACATATGAGTTTTCATACGTTAAATTTGACATATGAGAAAAGATGATGTCAAATCATTTTTAATTATTTTATTGTGTAGGTCTCATTAATGCACCAATTATATATTTTTGAAATTTATTTTAATTGATTTCTTTTTAAAATAGATTCTATAAATATCATTTATAACAAAAAAATATCGATTGGAAGTATAGAAAATCTGACATTAACACGTCAGTCATCAAATTAACATTTGACATTTATCTTTTGACATCTCTTTTGAAGATGATGCTCATCATCTCATATTTTTAGCATAATATTTTATAATATTAACATAAAATTAATGAAAAATTACAAGATAAAAATAGTTTATAGAAAGTTCGATTTTTAATTTCTCTTACATTAGTTTTGTGTCCCCCCCCCCCTTTTTTTTTATGAAATTCTATTTTTAATTTCGACAAAAAGGGGAAAAATCATTTTTTCAATAGTTTAAATTATGTCAAATAAATTTATGTAGTTTGATTAAGATTTCTATCCCGGATAATCTGCATTAATAGGAATTAGCGTTTTTGTCAAATGATAAGCATGCGGAGGGGAAACATTTATCATTTGCGGCTAATAACAATTTTTTAGACTCTGAAGCGTTGTTTGGAGAATTTTCTCAATAAAATCATGAATTTAAGCGTTTGAGTGTAATTTAGTAATCTAAGGTGCAAATCTTAGAAAGTTGGACCTACTAAGTTTCAAAAGGCGGATTTCTCCTCACTGTAGGTTTATCACACGAAAAAAAGATCAAATTATGTAACTACGTTAGTTGATTTTACGAACTGTTCTAAAAATATAAATTTTCTCTTGTTCACTTATCCTGGCATGAATACCAAGGGATGGATACTGATCAATATGTTTTAGTGCTTTAATCTTCGGCCTTAATATTAAATTCAACGGTAGGTAAAAATAAAATAAGACTAACTATAACCATATAATGTAGTATGATCTTATCTTATATTTTTCTGCTTAATTTAAAGGGTCACATGTTAAGCATGTCGTATAATTTATAACTCTTGCTTTCGTGGAAGCTCGTTGTACAGCCACATTTCACATTTCACGGATCAAGCAATGACAAGTCAAAAATTACCCAACTGAGTTGACTTGAAAACTTGATTAAGCATTAAACAATCTCATCAGATGATTAGCAAGCAAGTGATGATTAAAACATTTATAATATTATTATTATTATATTTTATAATATGATCACAATAGCAAAACTCATGAGTCAAAGTCACGGCTTCAATACAAATCAAAAGCTAAAACATAATTAACATTTTCACTAATTACACATACACCTGCACAAAGATAGCTTATCTTTTGCCACATATAATGATATCTTAGACTTTGAAGCATTGTTTGGAGAATTTTCGCAATACAGTCGTAAATTTCAGTGTTTTAGTGTAATTTGGTGATCTTGAGGTTCAAGTTTAAGAAAGTTGAATAGTATTATGGTCTAGTAATATTATTCTTTACTTGTAAGTGAGATGTTTTAAGTTCGATTCTTACCATAAGCGAATTTGAACCACCTTATTATGACTAGCTCATTGTTAGACTAAACTCACCTCCTCCCCTTCTTTGTTAAAAATAATAATAATAATAATAAATTTAAAAAAAGACCGATTTTTCTTCTCTGCATGTTTATCACATGACAAAAATGCTAAATTATGTAATTATGTTGGTTGATTTAACAGATTGTCTAAATTGAAATTTAAGCAAACTATGAAACTCCAATTACCAAATTTATGCAAGGGACCTTTTATCACAGTAGTGAAAAGGAGTTGAACCTTTGCATGACGGCGTAGTTCGAACCTATCGGCATCTACTCTAACATCTAACAAAATTTATCGTTTGACAATAAAAAAAAAAAAAAACAAAAAAAAAAAATTAAAACAAGAAGTATTTTATTAAAAGATCTCAAAAATGACTATACATAAATGTTCTCTTAGTCACTTGTCCTTGGATTGGATACCAAGGTGGAAAATGATGAATATGTTTTAGTGCTTTAATCCTCAGCCTTGATATCAAATTCAACGATAGGTGACCCAAAAATAGGACTTGTTAACTATATAACGTAGTATAATGATAATTATCTTTTCATTACTGATTAATTAAAAGGGTCACATGTTGAGCATGTCATATAAACAATCTCATCTGATGATTAGCAGCAAGCAAGTGATGATTAAAGTTAGTAAGATCCCACTAGCAAAACTCATGAGTCAAAGTCATGGCTTCAATCGAAATCAAAAGCTAAAAACATAATTAACATTCTCACTAATTACACATACCACCTGCATACAGCTTAATCATGCTGTAAGGGGAAGTGCTTTTGTCCTGATGTGATGCTATCGACATTGTTCTGACTTTTCACTCAAAATGAAACCTTATTAGAAGCCTTACAGATTTGTATTTCTCCCCCTTTTTATCATACAGGGGGACTGCCCTGATTCCGGGCTTCAGCTCGGAGACGGGCAGACACGTCTGCCCGCCAAAATCATCTTTCTCCGACCTGTCATACTCCCGGACTTCTAACCGGAGTATGGCAAGCTCCGGAACAGTCATAGGGAATGCAAACTCTTCGTCCCATACAGGTATCCAATCATCCTCAATTATCTTTGTTTTGAATTTACCACAATCTGCTGGCACTCCAACAATATAGACCTGCCATAATCCATAAAACACTCTCAGTTTTCGAGTTGAACATTCGTATTAAACAAATCAATGCGTAATTAGCTTAATAGAAAGCATAATTGATCTAACCTTTGTGTAGAAGTCGGGTGGGGAGAAGGAATCAAAGTGCGTTCGGCTAAAATCCAAGTGCCATCCATTTCCCATGTATATTTTCACCTGTCAATTAACATTCATGTTATCATGAGACCATTTCGGAGAGCTGCAAACAATGAACTTCACTTTTAAGTTGAAACAAAATATGCTCACCTTCAATGTCTTTTTCACTTTCAAGGCGTTTTTAGGATCGAATACCTCGCCTTTCGGACCCTTGCACATCAAAAAGTCCGGCTTTTTTAAGTAACCACACCCTCCGTTGGCTTTAAACATCCCATGCATCAGCCAATTGTACTTGTCCTTTCCCTGTTAAATATTTTCGACATTTTAGCAGGTTTCTATATGATTAGCACAGATCGAATTGTGTTTGTTTCAAAAACAAATTCCCTTTTCTTTGGATCTTGAGACTTTGAACTCGAAGTTAACATCTGAGAAAAATAAAAACTTGAAACTGACCTGCATATTAAATGCAACCATTTGAGCTCCATGCATCCAGCCAACATGTGGTTCGTAATTTGAGGAGTTGAATCGTGTTCCTTTCGGGTACACCCTTAGAATATTCTTCTGTGTGAACCTAGAGAGCATAACAACAAGTAACAGAACCATTAGTACTGAGAAGAACACGGATAACTAAAAATGAGTTAACTTCTTGTAGGTATTACCTTACGACATCAGTTCCATGATCTTCAGCCACCTTTTCAAGTTTTCCTTCACTCAAACTAAGACGTCTAACCTTATCACCGACTGCTAGAGCATCCTTTAATTCACCAGATGGTTTTCCAGCGCGGATTGTTATGAGACGCTTGTACTCAGGCGCTGATTGTTGGTATGATTTGGCTTCAGCTGCATTAGCACTGTTGATAGCGTCGCCATCTTGATCACTGCCACTCTGAACCCAGTAAAATAAGTAATGTAAACTAAGCAGGACCCCAGACCAAACTGGGAGATAAATTAATTGCAATTGTCCGCTGACCTCTTCAGATGAAGACCTTCCACTACCCTTGCCCTTGAACTCTTTGATCCGCTGCTTTCTTTTGGCGGTTTTGTTGAGATAATAATTCGCTTTTTTAAGGATTCGGGTGATGGGAATTCTACCATTTGGTCTTCTGCCTCCGGATAATACAGCGTGTCTCCAAATGTTTTGATAACCAACTGTATTATGCAAGATCATAAACTCGAGGTCGGAAAACAAGATGTGAAAGCAACAGATGCATAATTCAAACATGAAAGCTGACCTCTGCAACTTTAGCCTGAAGGTTGGGAGTAAGGTGATCTTCAAAAGTTATAACAACGGGGTATGGTGATTTATCAAAAGCATGTTCTTTTATCGACCTCAAGCATTTGATTAGCGTCACAGGAGCGGTCAAGGTCCTGCAAAATACATTCTGCATTTAATTTCGTTTCAATCTGTCATCGTTAACTGTAAGTCTATAAGCGAAATACAATTTAAGATGAGACGGATTTTGTAACGAACTGAGCTAACTGCTAGTTAGTACCTTCCATGATAAACTTGAACATCATCTTTTGCAGAGTTTGGCCACAGATCAAGTTCAATTACTTTAACACCCTTTTGCAATGCCTTGATGATTGGGACATCGCTGGAATCACTGCTCAGTTGATTCCCAGTAAGGTAGGAATTATGCCCTGTATATATGAAGTAATGTGATACTGGAGCATTCATATCATGGTGTACCTGCAATTGCAAAATCACTTACATATTAGCCTTACAACGACGCTTTATTTCGAGAAAAATCTTAAGCAAAGCGGCCCGACTACGTCATCTGTAGAGCAACTCTCACAAAAACATCAAATCTACCGGTAATTTGGTCTCATCTGGTGTGAGAGTCACCCTAATTAGACAACACTGCCGAAATTTCTCGTCTCTATTTCACTTGTTCAAAACGTCCCTATATCATCTATATTATTAAGCGAGAAGCCCTTATCATCTGTTCTCGCTTTCAAAGTATCTAGATTCAAGTAATACTTTGAAAACACTTCAAATCGTCACTGTATCATTTATTATTTAAAAATTTAATAAAACAAACTTTATAAGCAAAAAAATATGTTTTCTCGCCGGATTTATGTCTACCAAATTGTAAACTTAGAGCATGCATCAACATGATAACTCCGATAACAATGTTCACAGTATGAACACATTTTTTAAGTGTCAATAATATTTAACAAAAAAAAAAAAAAAAGATTCATGGGGTGGGGGCGATAAAGTTTGACCTGACTTCTGATTGGGGCGTTGAACTCTTCAAGGAACAAGAAATGAAAGAAATCCTCGAGAGAGAGTCCCCCCGCGTGCTTCTTGTGCTGCGCGGCCTCGCCCGGGTGGCGGGTCGTGAACTGGTGGAGGATAGTATGCGCGTCGGAGATAGTGAGGGCCGACTCGCCCTGGTGCTCGACCAGAAAGCTCCGGAACTGGTCGACGGACATCCGGTCCCCGCCCTGCGCGTACTCGGCGAACACCGCCTTGACGTCGGGCGGCGGGCCGGCCTCGCTGGCCTTGAACTTCCGGTTGAAGCACTTGAACATCTTGTAATTGTGGTGCGGTGCATTGCTGTCCCCCATCGAAAGTTCCCGCCTCCGAGTCCGATCGATCTTCGTTTCGGTTTCCTGAGTTTCCTGTTTGGTCACCGGGAAAGTGAATCGAGAAAAAAGAGGGGGAAGAGGGAGAGGGAGGAAGTGATGAAGGAGGAGAGGGGCCCCTAGAAATCAGCTGGATCGTTGGAGGTTAACCGACTAATCAACTGTTCGTTCCAATACCAAAAACTTGTCTTACCTTTTTTTATATTATTTTTTTGGTTTTTTGAAAAGTTGGCGTTAGAGCAATTGGCATTGACGTGCCAAGTCAAAAACAAGTTAGAAAACAAAGACCGGGGGCGGAGAGATTTTCCAGTAGGACGGCGTGATGGTAAATCACGTCTTACTATATATAAACGTGAAATATATATGTTAAAAAATTAGTAATTATATTTGTGACTGCCCTTTTATTACAAGGCTACAACTACATTTGTGACTGCCCTTTACAAGTTGGTCATGAAAGAATTATTTCCTATTGCGATATTTTTAAGAGAACTTTAATGAAAAGTTTTCGGTATTGTTCATTTTAACGAAAAATCATATATTTATACTAAAAAATCAATCATGGTACCATTCACTTTATCATTTATTTATTTTTTATTGTTAAAACTTAAAGTTTTCAAGTCTTTTTCATTATTTTTAAAAAGCAATATTATTTTGACTTATTTGGATAAGGATTTTAATAAATACTTGTCATTGTTTATCGTTGTGTGATTGATTTATATTGGTCTTCTAGAGTGCAATATCGTTATATGAAACTGCGCAACGACATGTGATGTAATATTTTAGTAGATAGAGTGTTGAGTTTTTATACATATTTCATGAGTTCGAAACTTCTTCTTCTCTTGATCGTTGTAGAGTTTCAAACCTTTCCCTCCGTTAATAATAAAATTTGATTTTAATAATAAATAAATAAATAAACTGATCAACGAAATTGATGAAATGACCAATGGTAGAAATCAAAATTGATATAATATAAATCAACCGTAAAAAGGGGAAGCTCAAAGCAAAAAAAACATTTGAAACTGATGAAGGATTTGCAAGTTGAACTAGACATAATCTTTTGATTATTCAGGTTAAACATTTGAAAATTACGTGTCTAATATCATAGTGGATAGTATGTTAAGTTTCTAATACGCGTCCTGAATTTGAAACTCTCACTTCTTAAATTAGTTTTGAACTTACTCCCTTTATCTTACAAATAGTAAATTTTTCTTTAAAAAAAAAAAAATTACACATAAAAACTTGATCGTTGGATTACACCATAAAATCCTTAACTCTCTTCTTGCAAAAAAATAAAGATTCCCACATCAATTGAGTAGTTCCTTTATCGTTTTCCAAAAAAGGAAATAGAGTAGGCTACTTTACCTTGCTTGTAGCAAATAGAAAGAGCCAAAAGCCTCGTAGAGTGGCATCGTCCCTGTAAACACCTACCCAGGTTAAATTAAAAATTGGATCGTTAATCGTAACAACTAGACCATTGTATCCATCAAATTAAAAAATTAAAAAAAAAAAAAAAAGCTTCATCAGATTAAACTCACTGCGACTTCTTCAGATTAAAGAAAGGAGGGGAAAAAAAATGACAAAAACATAACTCAATACGACTTTTCAACTTTGACAAAACTGAAATGTCAATTTAATTTTGCCAATTGCTATCACCATGGCCCTGGTTAGAGATGGATTATAAGTATGTATTATATATGGTACATCTTTGGTTTAATTTCTGATATCTGTGAATCATACGATAATAGTCAGTAAGACACTTAAATACTTTTGTGAGTCTTTATAGTTTTTGAAATAATAGATTGATGTGGTTAAGCCACCAGTTACACTTAAAAAAAAAAAAAAATTATGCAATTGGAATGAAAGTACCAAAGTTGACATGTTACTGAATACCAAATAAAACGTAAAGTCTTTCTTTATATATTAGAATTAGCATTGGTGAGTGTGTGAGTATATTTTATAGTAGCAAGTGTGAACACAATAACAATGGTACAATATAAAGCTGCCTATTACAGCTACCAATTCACAAAGACTTTGGATATATAAATCTAATAACTCTTAGGTGCTCAACATAGTATTTCTGATATTTTAAGACTTTCTCAGAAGTAAAATTCTTCATAGATGTCAAAAATATAAACGGTAGATATAAAATTATCAGAGAGAGTGAGGTTTTATCACAAAAAAATTTAATAATAATTAGAATGAGATTAAGATATTTAAATTTTTTTTCCCTCATAAATACAATCGATATATATTATTTTAATAACGAAAAGTCTATAAAGAATTCAGAGAGCCTCTGTGACATTACTCTTTCTCATAAATCATACCTAACACTCAATGGGGAAGAGGCAGAATCTGAACAATGCAGAAGTTGACAATGACTTGGTCTTGGATCCACTTAAGGTTGGAAGCATTGAACAAATCCACACACGTATGTGAAAACTGAAAACAAGGGAAGAAAAGTGACACCTTGTCCGTACACTGCATTCAATATTTCTAATGAATAATTAAATTATACGGAATTTCTTAGTATTCTTCGGGGTAATGAATTTTTAATCGTTAAATTCGTGATAAAAAATGCAATGAAAATATTTAATAACTAAAAATTTCGTCAATAACACTACAAAATTTCGTGTATTCTGAGAAATTCAGTTTGATTATGGAGAAAAATTTACCTATCATGTTTTTCATACTCTCTTATGTATGTTAACGACTTATATAACACGTTTCACAAGAGTTTCTCTCATTTGGAATATTAGAATAATGTTACATATATATCACGTGATGTGAGATGATGAAAGAGAGAGAGTAGGAAACATGCGTAGGAAAACTTTCCTAAGCGAAACTTATCTCCAAATTAATAATGTTACTGTCAGGTAAAAAGAGGTTATAACACACTATATCTCTCAATTTTCGATTGTCAGATCAAACAAATCGAAGAAGATTAATGATAAAAACTAATAAGAGTGCGTGGAAGGTAAAATTATTACTAAAAGGGTAAAATTGACATGTTTGGACATGTTGGGTGTCCAAATAACATTGTTGGGTGGCCGGCCATGGAATTGGAATCCCTCAAATACAAAGAAAGTGATAATGTTTGCTAGTTGGGCCCAAACAAACATTTAGTCCAGTCGACAGGCCCACACACAGTCCACTCACAGTCACAGACTCACATCTCAGCTTACGAGTCCGCAGCAGCGGAGGAAGCACTGGGAAAAAAGAAAGCCGAGATGACGACCGGAAGAAGGCTGTTTTCGGCGGCTCTTTTGTGGGTCCTACTCCTTTTCGGCACCTTAGCATTCATCCTGGTACAAACTCCATCACCTCTTTCTTCCAATTGCATAACTCAATTTCTGCAATCTTCCCTTCTCTCCGAATTGTTTTTAGGAATTGTTTTGCGATTCGATTTCAGACTCGACTCGGCGGCGACGGAGCTCTGAACGAGCCGAATGTTGTCAAAAGCGAGCTCCGTGAGGTGGGTATTTGATATTTTCACCCGCCAGTTTTCTTTGGGAACCAACGGAGCTGCTTACGTTTGTTGGGTGTTTCTGTGTTTTGGCAGGAAAGCGATTTGGAGCAAGTGACTCACAAAGTTTACTTCGATATCGAAATAAATGGAAAACCCATTGGTATGACATGAATTCTTAATCTGCTAGTTTAATTGTCGATTTCATCAATTTATGAGCAAACATTTTCTGGGTATTTGTTGATTTCTTCCAATAAGTTATAAAAATATATTAGAGTTAGGAACCTTTGTGTTTGTAAATTACTTGGCAGAGCAATGTTGTTTAAATGAACTTTTAGTTGTTAATTTCCTCCACCAAGTGATCACATTAAATTAAAGTTAAGAAGATTGTGTGTTGTTCCATCAGCTGGTGTAAATTATTTGGCAGAGAAAATGTTGTTACCTTGATAGTGTTCATGTTCCTCAATTAATCATGAGCAAACATTTTCGGGTAGTCATTAATTTCCTCCAATAATTGATAAGATTAAATTAAAGCTTAAAGTTAAGAACTTTGTGTCTTGTGTATCAGTATTCAGCTGTTGTAAATGATTTGGCAGAGAAATGCGGTTTAACTGAAATTATTGATATTTTGTTTTCTTGAAGGTCGCATTGTGATGGGTCTCTTTGGAAAAACAGTCCCTAAAACCATAGGTTGGTACCTCACAGCCTACTACTAAAGTTTCTATTGAGATATCACTGCTATGGAAAGAGTTAACCAAAGTTTCTGTTGTAAATGCAGAGAATTTCCGAGTGCTTTGCACGGGTAGACAAGTAACTTTAGCTCCCTTATATGTAATCCTTGATTATTTGCATGGAAGCTACAAATTTTGTGTAGTTTTCAAATTTAATGAGCCCTCGGGTTTCAGGGGAAAAAGGAACTGGAACAAGTAGGAAGCCTCTTCACTACAAGGGCAGTACATTTCACAGGATTATTCCCAGCTTTATGATACAGGGAGGTGATTTCACTCTCGGTGATGGGCGAGGTGGTGAGTCAATTTACGGTGATAAGTTTGCAGATGAAAACTTCAAACTACAGCACACAGGGCCAGGCAAGTAAAATCTGCCTTGTATTTGAGTAGTTTGTTCGTGCAAAAGTTCTCCTTTAAGTGAAGTTTAACTGTAAATGTCGGAAACGTACTACTACTCATCTGAATTCGACTCTCTGCCTGAAAAACAGGTATTCTTTCTGTGGCAAATGCTGGGCCAGACACCAATGGATCACAATTCTTCATTACAACAGTCAAAACTGGTTGGTAGGTTTCTTTTTCGACGTTTCTTGGAATACCTGTAGTTTTAGTGGTGTTTCTCAAATAAGTCGGGGTAGGAGATATCAATTCTGTTAAGTTGTTTATCTCAAACACCGACTTGTCTCAATTCCCATTTGAACAATCCTTTCCTAGAACTGAAACTAGATCAATCCAGTCGTATGATTACGAACTAGGTTATGATTTTGGCATGCATATTTCGATTTGGGAACCGAACATTTATCCGAATGAAACGTTTATAAAACTTACATGCCTGAATTTCGCTATGCTTTTCTTGAAAGGTTGGATGGGCGGCACGTCGTATTTGGCAAGGTGATTTCCGGGATGGACGTAGTGTACAAAGTCGAAGAAGTTGGAGACGCGAACGGGGTACCTAGGAGCAAGGTTGTCATCACCGACAGCGGCGAACTTCCAATGTCACTACACTAACCTTTCAGACAAGCTGCGAACGAGCGGCGAACGAGATGTAAAAAAAGCTGTACAACTACTATATGCTTATGCTGCACAAGACTGATACATGTATCACTAAAGAGTTTCGATTCAGTAACTTCTGATCTAAGTTCGAATCTCGGCTTCTCACATGTAAGGATCAACGACTCTGTGTTTGCAAATTGTAGCTTGACGCATGTACATGTGTAACTCGTTAGACTTACAAAAAGAAAAGTTTATGCTTACGTGACAGTGGATATGTCATGTAACGAACTAAGTATTTTCCGTTATATATGCTAAATTTGCAGTTCCAAAAAAAAAATATTTATAGAAATTGCCAACAAATATTCATAAAATTAAACACGTTAATAATTCACTGATTTGTTGACCAAATAGGGAAAATAAACTTCAAAAATAAGAACACTAATAACACTGTAAAAACCTAGCTGGGATTTATTAGATTCAACTCAAATTTCAAGTGGTCGGGATTGGAGTAAATTCTACTGAAAAACGACACTAGTTATCGGGCTCGGCACCGCCGTCCTCGGCATTTTTGCTGGCGTTGTGGTGGTGGAAGAAGGTGGAGAAATTTGATGAGAGGTCGGAGTAAAGAGAAACGACCTTGGAGATGTTGCCGTTGATCTCCTGGATAAGCGCCACGTTCTTGACCATGTTGTCGGCGACCCGAGACCGGTGGTTGTCGTTGACCTGCTGGATCAGGGAGCGGTTGCGATCCAGTAAGGACTGGACCTCGCTGAACCTGCGGTTGAACTGGTCCCACAGCTCCGAATCGTCCGCTTCCACGTCTTGATCGAAGACGGCGGTGGCCGAAACGGTGCGTTTGGTTGGTGATTCGTGGCTGAAGTAGTCCATGCTCGACTCGGCTCCGGACGATGAATCGCGGGAGGTCATGTGCGTGAAAAATGTGGGCGTATCGGTCGGCTCTGTGTTTTGTCGTTTGTTGTTTCCTGTTTTGGGTTTTAGGGACAAGGTAAATTTTCAGGAAAATGATCCTGCGAAGACTCTTTTGTCTTTTCCCCTGGTAAACTGCCTCTCCTATGTAGCCCAATAAAATGCTTACACCTGTCATATTAAACTCTCACCCAAAATCATATTATCTTTCTACCCAAACAGCAGCCAGCTCACTTTAAATCCATATCCAAACATACATCTTCTTCCTTCCATTGCCTTGCCTTTGCCATCAGAAAATCCCACCCTCGTCACCTTCCAGTTAGACGAACTCACGAGACTTGGGAGCGGGAAATTGAGAGGTTGACAGCATCAGTGGGGATGATTACGTCGGACCGACGATGGTCAGATCTGCTGTGAATGGGGATGGTTGTGGGGTCGACGGCGAATCAGACGGAGGAGAGAGGTCGGAGGAGGGATTGGACTGGTTTCAACGGAGGAGGGACTCGGGCTGGGTTCGACGGACGAGGGGTGAAGGACGGGGGCTAATGGTGGTGGAAAAGGATGGTTTCTGGTGATGGTGAGTGAAGATGTATGTTTGTGTCTTTGACGTGGGAGAAGAAGTATGTTTGATTAAGGTTGAAAGGAGAAAATTGCTAACTTTTGAACCAAAAGACTAATTACAGACCGATGTTTTTTTCTCTCCGTTGTGAGAGACCTCCGTGGTGAGTGTCCTTTCTCTCCGAGTGGGAGTGGGTTGGTTTCCTATTTTCAGTTCATTTCTGTTCTTCGTGGTGTCTACTGTGGAGTGACTATTGTAAACCAGGTGGGGCTGGGAGTTTCAGTTGGGTCGGGGTCTTGGTTCTCCAGAGTTTTAGAATTTTGGGGTTTTGGGAAAGGGGTGATGTGGAGTTTCAACCCTTTCCTGGTGGAGGGGGTTGGGGGTATTTATTATAGGATGTTACCTAACAAAGTTAATGCAATTAAAGGCAGACTACCTACTGCTAAACTTGGAATCAGGAGCAGGTGTAAAAATCCAATGGGCAGGCACGGAGGGTTCACATTTACTATCCTATCTGTGTTTTTCCTTCTAGCTGTGCAGATAGAAAACAGGCAAATCAGAAACAGGCCAGAGGAAAAAGAAAACAGAGATAGAGTCTGGATGATGGCGAATCAAGAGGTGGAAGAACTGATGGTCCAACTGGAGAAATCAATGGAGATAACAACTATGGAACGAGGGATAAAACTGGTGGGGACTGCCTTAACCAACAAAGTGTTAAACAAATGGGGAGTCAGGAACATACTGAGAGCTGCGTGGAAGGACATGGGGGAATTTGAAGTCAAATGGGTTCATGGAAATACGTTTATAATCACAGTGAAGGATGAAACCTCGGCTGAGCGGATTTTGAGTCAGGTACCATGGGCAGTAATGAAGCAGAATTTTTCTGTTAAAAGGTGGCCACCAGAGCTAGCGATAGAGGAAATCCCTATGGAGAGGGTCCCTTTCTGGGTTCAAATCCGGGGGGTGCCTCTGGGTTTGTGTACAGAAACGAATGTGAGACGACTGGCCAAAGAGATTGGCGAATTAGTGGAGATTGAGGATCCTGCAAAAGCTCGGGGTTTTCTCAGGGTACGGGTGATCATAAATACACAAAATCCTTTAGCTAAAGGATGCTGGATACCAAGGGAGAGTAATACGGATTCGTGGATTGAATTCCGATACGAAAGACTTCAGGACTTTTGTTACAAATGTGGGAGGATAGGACATGCAAACAACGAGTGCTTTTACGAGATCGGGCAGAGCTCCACAGCGGGATATGGTGAATGGACGAAAACGGGTCCTATAAGAGACGAGATAGCTAAATCAAAACCGATGGTGGTTAATTTGGGAGAGAGGAGACCGGCGGGAGCTATCAGAGGCGGGAATCAGAACTCTGTGCTACGGCGCGTGGTTCCCACAGAGGATACAGGTCGTCGGGAAGTGGAAGGCCAAGTGAGGGGGACAACAAGTCAGACGGAGGCACACAGTACAAGGAAAAGTCAGAGAACGTGGCACAGGATGAAGAAAAGATCGGAGGGTCGGGAGGGGCTCACGCAAGAGTGGGTGATAGAAGGACAAATGGCCCAAGTGGCCCAGCAAGTTATTATGGGGATAGGGTGTTTGGGCCCCCAACCCACTACAATTTTTAATATCCCTAACCATCTTTTTCTTCCCCAGTCACCCCGAGTCCAAGAGATCCAAGAGATGGGAGAAACATTTCAAAGCTGCTGCAGGGGAATAGATGGACAACCTCTCAAAATCAATGAAAGTTGTTCGAATATGGGCAAAACTCTTGATTCAGAGACTACGGCATCATCATCCAGGCCAGTTCTACGATCAAGAGATGCTGTGCCGAGGAATGAGATTAGTGGGCAAATTGGACGATTGGAGGGTGGGTGGAGCAGTGGATTAAAGAGGAGCAATCTGGAGACAAATCATGTTTCTCTGAAAAGAAATAAGATGGGGGAGGGAAGGGCTGAAGGAAAAATTTTGGAGTTACCTCTATCCAGGAAATCGGCAAAAGAAGCAAGTCAGTTCGATGAGAAGTGGAATCTTGTTGAAGAAAAAGCTGAGACGAAGAGACGGGAGTCGACAACACATTGGGAGCTCCAAGGAAAAATGGGCGGTGGCGGCTGGCCCTCAACAGCCGCAAGAGAGCCATGACACACTTAGTATGGAACTGCCGTGGTCTAGGGTCGAACACGGTAGTTCGGGCTCTTCATGGGCTCATTCGAAAGCATAGGCCTGCTATGATTTTTCTTGCTGAAACAAAGATGAGAGATAACAGAGTAGATGGAGTAAGAAGGAGAATGGGGTATCGGAAGGGGTTTCATGTTTCCCCTATTGGGAGAGCTGGGGGTCTAAGTATGTGGTGGGATGATTCTATTGAGGTAATGATTGGTTTTTCTTCCAAACATATTATTGATGCTAATATTAAGTTTGTGGATTCGGATAGACGGGCTCGGATCACTTGGGTTTATGGTACTGCTTATAGGAATGAGAAGTTGGAATTTTGGAGGTGGATGAATGATTGGTTTAAACCGACCAATATGCCGTGGCTTTGCGGAGGAGATTTTAATGAGATTCTTTGGGATTATGAGAAATCCGGGGGAGCAAGTTTAAGCTATAACAGACCAAGATACTTGGAGGAATTCTTGAATAGTGCGGAGCTTATGGACCTGGATTTTAATGGGCCTTGCTTTACCTGGAGAGGTATGAGAAATGGGCAACTTGTTGAGGAGCGGTTGGATAGGGGATTGGCTAACAGGCAGTGGCAAGACTGTTGGCCAAATACTTTGGTCATTCATGAGACTGTGATCGGTTCGGACCATAGCCCCCTTATTATTCAATATCAGCCTAGGGGTAAGAAACTGAAGAAGCTCTTTCGTTTCGAAGCCTACTGGGCCAAAGAAGAGAGGTGCAAGGCAATCGTGAATCACTGTTGGAGACAACATTGCAGTAGTGATGGTATTATGAGATGGCAGAAAAAATTGAGTGATTGTCGAGACAAGTTGATCATGTGGAGCCAGCAGGAATTTAAGTCGAGAGGGCGGGAACTTGGCGGTCTAATCAACAGGCTGGGGGTCCTTCAACAAAATTGGAGCACAAATTGGGAGGAAATCAAGAAGGTTTCGGCGCGGATCGACAAATTAGGGGAGATTGAGGAGCAATTTTGGCAACAGCGATCGAGGGTGAAGTGGCTAAAGGAGGGTGATGCGAATACTGCTTTTTTCCATCAATCGACGCTTCAACGGAGAAGGAGAAACAAGGTAGTAAAGATCAAAGATGGGAATGGTGTTTGGATTGAAAATCAGAATGAGGTTCAGAAGTATATTGATGATCACTTTATAAATCTGTTCTCCACATCGGGCCCTAGAGAGTGGGGAAGGATGTTGGATTGTCTTCAACATAAGGTGAGTGATGAGATGAATTCTGGCCTGATAAAACCGGTAACAATGGAGGAAATCCAGGCGGCAGCTCTACAAATGGATGGGTTGAAAGCCCCGGGGCCTGATGGTTTCCAGGGGATTTTCTACCACTCATTCTGGAACTCCCTTATGGATGATGTGAATGGTATTGTGCAGGATTTTATGCAGGGGGTCTCGGCTCCGCAGCGGCTAAATTCGACTCACATTGTGTTGGTTCCGAAGGTCATTAATCCGGACTCGGTTGGACAATTCAGACCTATTAGCTTGTGCAACTACTCCTACAAGATTGTCTCTAAGATTCTTGCGAATCGGCTCAAGCCTCTTCTATCGGAGGTTATTTCCTCCACGCAAGGCGCTTTCGTGATGGGAAGACAAATCCAAGATAATATTGGTATTGCTCATGAGATGTTCCATTTTCTGAAACTAAGAAAGGCTAAGAGGAAGTTTGAGATGGGAGTGAAGCTTGATATGCACAAAGCCTACGACCGGGTTGAATGGGATTTCCTTGAGGCAGTCATGGAAAAGCTGGGCTTCTGTTCCCATTGGAGGAATCTGGTGATGGGCTGTGTAAAAACTGTAGAATTTGCTATTATTCTAAATGGGCAGCCAGGGAAGCATTTCCTCCCTTCCAGGGGCCTCCGGCAGGGAGACCCTCTGTCTCCGTACCTTTTCATCCTGGTTGGAGAGGTATTGGCAATGATGATTCAACAGGCGGGGGAAATGGGGCTACTCACGGGAATCCAACTGAACTATAGGTGCCCGATCATCTCTCACTTGTTTTTTGCGGACGATACTTTGATTTTTATGTGCGCTGATAAACAAAATTGTGATTGCCTGTTGCGGATATTAGATGATTATTGTTCTGCTTCTGGCCAACTGGTGAACTATCAGAAGTCGTGTATGTTCTTTGGGGCAAACGTGCCTAGAAGCTTGTCAGTTGAGCTTAGTCACATCGTTGGTATGTCTTTGGCGCAGGATCCGGGAAAGTACCTTGGTCTTCCTTCTTTTTGGGGTCATTCTAAAAAGCAGGGGCTTGCTTTCGTGAAAGGTCGAATCTTAGAAAAAGTTCAGGGTTGGAAACAATGCACCCTCTCACAAGCAGGGAAAGAAATTTTGATTAAGGCTGTGATTCAAGCAATCCCTGCCTATCCCATGCATATCTTTAAGTTCCCTTCTACTCTATGTTCGGATTTTGATGCTTTAATAGCTGAGTTTTGGTGGGGAAAGAACGCGGGGGGGGGGGGGGGGGGAGAAAAGCATCCATTGGGTTTCTCGGGGCCGCTTGGGGTATCCGAAACAAGATGGTGGTATGGGGTTCCGAAATTTTCAAGATTTTAACGATGCTCTGCTTGCAAAACAGTGTTGGAGATTGATTCATGAACCAAACTCGCTATGGGCGTAGCTACTTAAGGCCCGTTATTTCCCACACTGCTCTTTCATGGATGCTACTTTGGGGGGCAGAGCATCTTGGGGTTGGTCTAGTCTCCTGGTTGGGCGTGAGATCCTTCTGAAAGGTGCTCACTGGCAGATAATGAATGGGAGAAGTATTAGGTTATGGCAGGATAGATGGTTGCCGTCTATCCCTGCTGGAAAACCTACGGTTATTGGAGATGTGAGAGTGTCTCGGAATATGCGGGTGGATGCAGTGATTAATAATGATTCTGGATCTTGGAATATTGAGGCCATTAGGCCTCTTATTTCTTTGGAGGACTTCGGGGCCATTCTGGACACTCCCATTAGAGATAGGCGTCGAGAAGATAGGATGATTTGGCCGGCTACCAGGAATGGGGAGTACTCTGTGAAATCTGGATATCATTGGAAGCATGCTAACGCGTGCTCCATTGTTGGCGGGGCCTCCTCGTCTTCCTCTGTCATCCCGATTAAGGTTTGGAATTGTATTTGGCATTTGAAGACTCCTCCGAAAATCCGTAATTTTATGTGGAGGGCTTTGAATCGTGCTTTGGCCACGATGGAGAATTTGTTCAGACGCCGTTGTTCCCCTTCCCTGTGCTGTCCTATTTGTTTACACCAGGATGAATCTGTTGAGCATATGCTCCTTCTGTGCCCGTGGGTTGAACCGATTTGGTTTGGTGGCCCGTTGAATTATCGGGTGATTAGAGCCAATATTTCGAATCTCCCTGCCTGGGTTTTGTCTTTCCTTGAGGCGGGATTGGGCTCAAAGGAAGAGAAGGCTAGGATTTTGATGATCGTGGCTTTCACTTGCTGGCACATCTGGAAAAACAGGTGTAGTTTTGTTTATGATAACATGGGTATTTCTCCGAATCGTGTCATCATGGCTATTACGACTTCGGTGAATGGGTTTTTGGAGGCGACTGATGTTTCCGCCTCTAGTCCTCAGAGGAACCGTTCTCTCTCTGGTCCTCCTGCCCGCTGGGGTCCCCCGGGCCATCCTTTCATGAAGGTGAATGTGGATGCGAGTTGGAGTGCTAGTTCCAAATGTGGTTATGCTGGTGTGGTGATCAGGGATCATGCGGGGTTGTTTGTGGCAGCTAAACGTGGTCGGGTTGGGGCCCCTTGTGTGGCTGCTGCTGAGGCTGCCGCGATTTTGCTGGGGTGTGAGCTGGCAAAAGAGTTGGAGTTAGAATGCATCATTGTTGAGTCCGATTCTAAGGAGAGCATCCTTAATTTAGCTCAGGGGCATTTGAGAGGCAGCTGGGAGGCTTTCCCTGTTATTTCAAAGGCTTTGCGCCTTAGGGGGGACTTTCAGGACTGTCGCTGGTCTTGGGTCCCGAGATCGGCCAATTTGGCGGCGCATGTGTTGGCGTCGAGAAGTAATCCGGAGATGTGCGATGTTACTTGGGTAAATCTCCCTCCATCTTCGTTGGTCCACGTTTTGAATAAGGATGGGTTGCCTTGCCCCCCTTAATTTTGTTTTGCGGGGAAAGGGGGTGACTGTGGCTTTAGGCTAGGTCGGTGGTGTTGATCCTCCTCCTCTGTTTTATGTTGTGTCTTGCGCTGTTGCTTGCTCTCGGTGAGCTTCTGTTGCTGTTTGGCTTTGGCCTGGTTTATTGGTTGCCAGCTTTTCAAAAAAAAGGAGAAAATTGTTGTTTGGGTAGCTAGATAATGAGTTTGGAATTTATATGAATATAAAATCCGTTAAATATTTTTAAATTGATTAAAAACGCTTCTCGTAAAAATGACTTTTAAATTTAATTTTTAATAAAAATACATGATTCATGCAAAAACGGTGAACTTTGAATTATTTTAAAATCGAACCCGTCAAATACAATGATTGTTCTCATTTTGCATGTCAATGAACTTATAAATTGACAAAAACATTACATACAAGTAAACTCAAACACAATCCATTGCTACCCGTCGTGAGTTAGGGACCGTGAAATAAATTTCATACAAAAACGATGCGCTTTTAGTCATTTTAAATAAAAACGAACCCATAAAATACAATGTCTTTTCTCACCTTGCATGTCAATAAACTCGTAAATTGATAAAAACATGACATACAATTAAACTCGAAGACAATCCATTGCTACCCGTCGTGAGTTAGGGGCCGCGAAATAAATTTCATAAATTATAAAATGGTGTTTGGAGAAAACTATAAGAACTGATGCATTTCGGGAAAAATTACAACCTGAGGCAATGATTCAGAAAAAAGATGGATCAACTAGTCAGTTGATTTCCTCTTCCTCCCAAGAACAGAAGCTCTTTCGAATCGGGGGCCACCGATCCGCCACTTCTTGAAGGCTGCCATTGAGGATTGAGCTGCCTCATACACTGCAATTGCAAACAGATTCTGTGTCAACAGACTATCGAGATACGCATAGGTCAAGCGTTCGATTCCCTCCGGTGTAACCCAAAAAAATGAAAAACAAATGTAGTATAAATCTTACAGTTGGTTTCTTCTTTTGTTAAGAAACTCAACAATTTCGAAGGTGCCGTAAATGCTGCATTATGTGCCTTTGCCAGGATTTGCTGGTACCTGGTTCTGAATGCAGATAGTAGGAAAGACCCCATGTCTCTGTCACCAATCCTGTCCATCCAAATGGTTGCACAAAATAAAGAAAATATTAGTCACATTTACCAGTGATGTTCTAATCTAATCTAAATTACGGGAGTGTTAAGTTCATGACCGGAAATTTCTCAACCCTCTACCCCAATAAGAGTGATTTTTATTAAAAATATGCCCATTAGAAGATAGCTTACATCAAGAGAACATACCAATCGAATTATGTATACAGGAAATCAGTAGGAGAGAGACTCACAATGGTGCTATCTTGCATCCAAATTCATAGAAGTATAGACATCGAGATCTCAAATCTACAGCTGCACCATCAGCCCCAAGTTCCAGCTTTGTTCTGATAAAAACAAAATGTACAAGAGTTAGATATATAGTAGCAATCGCTAGTTTTGAACTTGAACTTGAATCACGTGAGTTGTTCTTCATGCTTTCTCAAAATTTAACGCATCCCACAGAATGGCAGCAATTGTAATTGGTCAGTGGCAACTAAGCACATTCAAAGATATGACGAATAAACATAATATCTTGAATACCAAAGACAAGAAATGTACGGATATCAGATTTCGAGTCTGAGAACAAATTGAATCTCAATGACCATGGCCAGAAACTGTTGAATGAACCAAACATGCCATTAAACTCTGCCCTAACCAAATTGGCCATTTAAAAATGTTAAACGAACTTATAATATGATATAATACCTGTGATTGAAACAGGCAGGAACCTTCATCTTTACTACTTGTTTGAGGTGTAACTCATAAGCAAGCCATAAAGGCAGCTCTACCTTTGAACCGGCTTCAACCTGAAATACAAACCCAAGAAGATATAAGAACACATCCTTTTCAACCAAAGGCCATCCGCTCCAAACCCACTCTGATCACTTACATAATCAGTTTCAGCACTAGGATCAATCTCCACCCCATTTACTGCTTTCTGGAAAACAACCGGGACGAGCTGCTTGGAAACAGAAATAATGCTTAGAATACAAATTTAAATAAACGTAGCAGATGGAATTTAGATTTCAAGGATATGAAGAGACGGGAAGTAACCTGTTGCTCCATAATAATATCATCAATGTCATAGTAGTTTGCCATTTTCAGGAAAGCTCCCACTTTCCTTGTAACGTCCCCTGCTTCTTCAAAACAGATTCCTGAAGCAACAAAGACCAATTTTAAAAACCTTACTAATTGAACCTTCCAATCTTATCATCTCTCGAGCCACCAAAAACCAAAATGACAAACAAATCATAGGCATAAAATTGCCACATTCTTGTTTAATAAACGATCTTTGACTTTGCAAAAGCATAAATCTTTGAACCATCTGAACCGCTCAGGAATAGGATTTCCCATATTCCACTGCCATAAGTACTTGGGATGTATTTGAAAACCAAAATTTGGGGTTAGAATGCCTACTTGGGTTCTACAGATATATTGAACCAACAGATTCAAGATTTCCTATTTCGACAATTGCTGAAACGAGAGGATTCCAGATACCAACAATTTATGAACTCTTTGAAGCATTTTGACAAACACGTTACAGGCAACAAACCCATCTTACTGATTTCATGGAAGAAGTACAGATAATTTAGGAAAAGACTGAAAATTCTGAAAAAAGAAACGAAACCCACAAATACCCAGTTGGTCGAAAATACAAATCCAACTAACGCTAGCTTCAAAAGCAAGAATCAGATGAGGCCACCCATGAATCTACAGCTTCACATAGCGAGACAAAAATTCGGAAATAAAATTATCTAAAATCCAATAAAAACGAGAGTATAATTCGCAGCGGAATTAAAGAACGGAGTTAAAAATAATACCATTTACCTGGGTTGTTGTTTCGCTCTCTGTTTCAGGGGTGAAATCTGAGGCCGATGAATGAGAGTGAGAGAGAGAGAGAGAGATTGAACTAAACGCGAGGGAAGAAGGAGGGAAACTCAAAAATATTGAGATATGAAATGCTCCAGTGTGATGCGGTGTACCATTATTTAGAATGTTGATAGACTTTACCATTTTATTATGAATTAAACTCTGTTTACTACCTTTATGTTTGGTTTTCAACATTTAGTACATCAAATTTTTTTTCATCCCAGAGTCATACCTAAAGTGTTAATTTTGGGATAGTCTCATACATCCGTTAGTCAAATTGTTAGTTCTCCAGTTAAATAATGATGTGACACTATGTAGACAATGACTGAGCGTCACGTGTTATTAAAAAATATTTAAATAATTAATTAAATTAAAAAAAAAACCCCATCCCTTCTTCCCCTGCGCCCCCAACCCAGAAGAAGAAGGAAGAAAAAAAAAACCCAGTTCATGGTCTGGGTTTGCGGTCGCGGGGTGGGGAGGAAGGCAGGTGGGTCGCCCGGGGGGGGGGGGAACGAACTGGTTTTGGGCTGCTGTTTTTTTTTTTTTTTCTTCTTCTTCTGGGTTGCAAATTCGGTATTTTTTTTTTGTTCTTCTTCTTTTTCTGGGTTGCAGATTCTTTTTTTTTTTTTTTTTTTTTTTTTTTTGGTTCTTCTTCTTCTGGGTTATAGATTCGGAATGCGGGGCAGGGGGACGAACTGGGTTTAGGTTGCTGTTTTTTTTTTCTTCTTCTTCTTCTTTTTCTGGGTTGGGGGCGCGCGCGTGTCGGGGGAGGGGTGGGAAGGGATAGTTTTTTTTAATTAATTATTTTAATATTTTTTAATGATATGTGGCTCCCAGTCATTGTCCACGTGGCCGCCACGCCATTACTTAACGGGAGAACTAACAGTTTGACTAACGGATGTATGAGATTGTCCCAAAATTAACGTTTTAGGTACGACTCTGGGATGAAAAAAAAACTTGATATACTAAATCTTGAAAACCATGAAACATGAATGTAGTAAACAGAGTTTAACCCTTTTATTATCTAGTCTTTTGGCACACGCCGTGCAAATTCCATGAGGATCCTCGCCGCATCCTCTTTGTGAGGATTCTGAGGATTCTTTAATCACATCCGTTCATCGTACATCGTGCAGTCAGAAATTATTGTAAATTTTTTTTATTTAAAATTGAATATAAACAGTACCTGAAAAAAAACTAATCGCACAACTTATGATGAACGAATGTGATTGGAGGATCTAACGAGGATCCTCTCTCTCTCTCTCTCTCTCGTGCAAATTGATCTTTTTATGTTAAACCAAAAATGATTTTTTTTTTTTTCAAACAAAAAAATTTGACTTTTTTTCTTCTTTTTTTTAAAAATAAAATATAAAAAAATATAAAATATAAAATAACAAATGAACGTAACAAGTGCCACTTAGTACTATGGTCTGGTGGTATTCCTCATCACTTGTAAGTGAGAGGTCTTATGTTCGAATCTCATGGATAACGAATTCGATACCAAATTAGATTGTTCACAGTGTGGTTTAGCCGAACTATCTTTCTCCTTAGTGTAAAATATATCATTGTACTAAAAAAAACCAACTGGGTTTGTGTTAACATTACTATTTCAACCATAACTGAGCAATTTTAATATTTTAGAGTTTGAGTTAAGGTAATGGTAAAATATATGTTGAATGTTTCACAATTTCTGTCCTCTCTCTTTTTGATAAAATAAGGAATTAAACACTCAAACAAAATTAAGAAACAAAATTGAGCGAAAAAAAAAAAAAAAAAACTATAAAACAACATCATAACAGAAATTATGTGTATTTTCCGAAATTTATTTATTTAGACTTCATTTTCTAAAAAAGATGAATGAAATTAGGGTTTTGTTTTTAATTTTCACGATTGAGTTTTAAATAAATCTTTTGGGCTATTTTTATTAACTTCACAATGCTTCAACAAAAGAAGTTATAACAAAGCATTCACCAGTGGTTCCAATATCTCAATATCATTACCAATGTGCATAAAATACTTCCAACCCGTCTTTTATTTTTTGCTCCTTCATTGCATACTTCAACCTTCAATTGCAAAGCTCCGGCATCGGAAAACCGGTGAAACACGATTCCGCAAGGGTGGTGATTTTCGCACTCCCGTTGTGTCCTTCTGCCTCCACTTGTTGCTGTCAATTGATTCTAAAGGCGGGAGGAAAGGAAAGAGTGCGGAAATCATTCCCCTTCTGTGAACTAGTCCCACTGAATCTCCCTGAAATAAGTCCAGCCGGAAGGATTTAACGTTGTCTTTCCGTCAGCAGCAACGAGATCATACGGTGAATCCTCGGAAAATTCTATCGGCATCGATTTCCAGTGTAAACTTGGCTTCCAGTCAGCTTCTCTCAGTACCTTGAGTATCTCTTCCACCACTACTTTGCTCCCTTCAGCTGAAAAATGAATCCCATCCCTGGAAACAGATAAGCAGGAGATACGTTAAACAATTAAGAGAGATTTATTTCAATGCTAAACTACTTTAATGGCGGAGTTTGGTATAAAGGTGCATAATGACACCGTACTCTCCTCCGGGAAAATGCGGAAGGAATACATCTCAAAGAGATATCTGAACGGTAATCATGATATTTCATCCCTACTTTGAATTGGTTCCTAACGACTACCATACGACAAAAATCATCTAGACATTTACTCGTGATGGATGGAGGAAGGAAACCCTCTGAGAGGATAGGATATTAAGCGTTTTCTTCCCGAATATATGGATTTAATAGTGTATGAGCTATTAACTGAAAAAACAAAATCTTCACAACTGAATCAACGAGGGGCTTGAATATGTGTGCTGAAAAGCAAACATGTGGCAAGAATACAAGATGCATGAACGTGTAAATTTGTAATAGCAAATCAACCGTACAGGTTATGGCTAATCGTCTATATAAATCATTGCTCCATTACATATTACAATGTGACCATACTAGCTAAAAATATTATACGCAAGGTATACAGGGGACCGAGCAAATGATGATTCAAAAGTATATATATAACTTATCCAGTACATGAGGACGCTAAGATATTAGGCAGGGAAATTGATGATTTAAACCAAATGATACAAATGTCAAAACAGATGGTATAACAAAAATGAGAGAGCGAAAACGCCAAGTTAACATACGTAAAACAAGCATTCCTCCAGTCATCTTTTCTCTGACATGCAGTGAAAAGATCAACAAATGGGACATTGATTTCCTGGCACAGCTTTATACAAGCTTCTGAATACTGTTGGCATAACTCGTTGGTTCTTATAATCTCGCTGAAAATCCCGCCGCTTTTAAAGAGGAGAAAAATGATATAAGGGACACTGCCATAGAGATATGATAAGGTTAACTATAAACACAAGAGTTGCATCTGAGTACCTTGAACTTCCATTGATTAAGGCCTCATTAACTGGAGGACAACTAAGAAAGATGATCCTCGTTGAATCTGAAAGGCTCTGGTCATCAAATATACCGTGTTAGAATGCATCAAAATTTTCACATAGATATGCAAGCACAATATTCTCTCGTATGAGGATGACCCTACAGGAAACACATATGCAACAAAACCAGAATCGAATTACTTCAACCACATAAAAAGATACATGATTCTGGATAATTATCGTTCTCAAGTGTTCAAAAATCGACATCTTTCGTTTCCTGAAAACAAATTTGGCTACTTGTTTAAGCTTCCATTCGCATTAGAGACTTGTGATATGCTAAATAAACAGTTGATTCCGTTATGTCTTACTTCCGAGCAATGCAAACAACAATTTCGGTGGAGCCTAGGAAAAACAACAGATGGGGGAAATGGAATTCATGTAACAGATGGTTCAGTAATTCAAAGGCATGTATCTTAACATAGATGAAGAAACTACCTTCAGATGAATTGCAATCTTTCTCATGTTCTCGACGTATTCAGGAAGCGGGACATGAGGGCCAAGGCCGGATGGATGAGGCCCCATAGAATCATTACCACCAAAATAAACTATCACCAAAGAAGGTTTAACAGCAGCATCCTAGAACAAAAACAGAAATGCAAGTATGCAACCTTGGAGTCAGACCACTGTGTACTTTATTGAAGCATAAATATTTGACCCAAAAAACAAATAAAAGTATAAACAATGAAATATCTAAGTTTGCAATCTTATAATAGTAACACCCAAAAACATGCCATTTATACAAGCAGTATAGTCTTTGTCACACATGTTCGTTTTCACGAGACGATATTTTAAATTACTTTAATATACAAAGAACGGGATAATCTACTCCTCAACACAAACCAACCCATCTCATGTTTCTATTTAACAAAGATTTTTGTTGATTTATCATTATTCTTAAAGGGTAATGATTTTCGCACTCCACTTTTAACCGCGTACACTGCAAATCGAATATTTTAGAATTTTTCTCTGCACTCGCACTCACAACGAGTGCCGGGACTAAACAAGGCGCGTTCAAATCACTAAATTACTTTTCCTTGACAAGCACATACTGAAAAGACAAGAGCATTTCAGCTAAAAAAGCACAATTACCTTGGGAAAGACTTGATCAAGGACATTTACAGCACGCCGTGAATTCCAACCAAAGTAACCACGCACCAGTATGTCTGCCTACAAAAACTCACAAACCCAATAAGCAAAAGCAACCCAAAGATTGCAACTTTAGACTTGTTTCTTGATTTTCGCAGCGAAAAATGACGACCCAAATTAGAAAGAACAAAAAAAAAACAGGTGGGGAGAGTGAGAGAAACAGAACTCTACGAGAGTAGATATCGGCAAGAATTGCGCCCCAACCGCCGACGTCGTAGCTCATCTGAACAATGGAGGATCCGAACAGAACAAACAAGGGCCTTGCCGGTCCGACCATCTCTCTCCCTCTCTCTAAAGAAGAGGAGGAAGAATACGAGGAATTGGTCGGAAGAGTAGAGAGCAGAAGGAGGACTAGGACGACCTCGGAGTTTACTCTGAAATGGTTTGGTTTAGTGGGCAGCTGGGTGCAAGCAAATGATGTTATGTAAGGAGGTAGGTTGTCTGCCT